ACAATTGGAAACGACCTTTTTTTCATCGGCACTCTTTTTTCGCCGGTGACCTTTTGACACGCGCCTATTTGTTATATGATGTATGATTATCGGTTATTTATCAACTAAAAGTATAGGAAATTAGTACATTGTGAATGATAATATCATTTTATTTTTGAAACTAGTTCAAAAGTTGCATTTAACGATACTCAATGTTTCACTTTACCGTCAGTTTTAGTTTGACATATCCGTCATTTTAAGTTTACAAAGCTCAGTTTCTATTCGAAAGTAAGAGAAACAGTCAAAATAAAATGCGAAAAACACTTTTTAATCAATTTCGTTTATGCCAACTGAAAGCGACAATTGCTGAAGACGTAACAAATAAATTAGGTCAAGAAATAAAAAAATCTATACTATAAGTAACATACCATATATTATACCTGTTAAAATAAATCAAAAATAAGAGAACGTATCGTTGACGTATATACTTTTCCATCTGTGATTAGTGATTACCAATTGCAAATTACGTATGAACATGCTTATGCGCAAAAAAAACCATTATTTCAAGTACTTGTATCATTAAAGTCCATTAAATTATTATTTTTATAAATTTGCTAATCTTTGCACTTTAATTTTCATTATATGGGGTATCCAGACATTTTAATCCTCGTCCTCTTCTATTTAAAATTATCTCAGGTGCCATATATTCCGAGTAAAATTTTTCTAATTTTTCAACCATATTTTGAAAAAAAAAAAATGGGTTAAAAATTAATTTTTTCAACAAATAGTGGATTTTCATCTCCAGTATATACTACAAAGTAGCACAATTTTCTTTGAGCTATACCTAGCTGTCCTTGAATCTAAAAGTATATAAAATCATTATTAGAAAATCAAACATAAAAAGAATAATAATATTGTAGTATCATTTCTAGCACATTTCTTAAAAATCATGAATTATTTTAACATATTGAAATTTTTCACCTGGTAAAAGTAGTTATGGTTTTCTTTTAAATGAATGTCACCATCTTCTATTTTTAAGCATGGAAATGGGTTTGAATATTAGGTAATGTGCGCCAATAATGTCAAATTATGACAATTCGCAGAAAACGTCAACTTTTTATTTAGATTTTAATGTGCAAAAGCCTACCTACTTTGGATATTGATCGTAGAAAAAATATATTCAGAATAATGAAACATTATTATTAAATAACAAGTTTTTTTATTGTCAATTTAATACGTAATATTATTTTTTAATTGCAAATATTTGAATGTTAAAATTATAGCGTTTAATTTTTTTATTCAATGACGAACTCGAGAGTGATAGAAAAAATACTACCTACCTTTAATGCAGGAAGTCGATGTCAATTTATCCAAAAATAAAACTGATTAAAATGTACAATGAAACTCACTAGGACACTTGGCACAAATAAATAAATTTTCTATTAAAGAAAATAACACTTTTTAAAAACAAACAGCACAATAAAACACTTCAGAAACGTGTAATGTAATTTTGAAAACTAAATACCCGTAAGCTTGTTTGTAAATTTATAGACTCTTAACTCCTTCCCCCAGCCTTCATTAAGTATATTAAAAGTCGTGACGTCATATTGGCACAGATATACGGTAATGTGTTATTGACAATCAGGGAAATAACTACCTAAGATAAGATAAGATAAATGAATGTTAAATACCTACTCATATCTATTGTAGGGTTTTTGTACTTTAATAGGATAAATATTTATGCGGGCCTGGAAATTCCAGGAAATGACAGTCAAAATTACCCAAAAACATTAGGTTAGTACCAACATCAGATAACAGATAACTTCGGTGTTTAACCAATTAATCACAATTAATATTCTTGAACATTCAAATGACAAAAACTTCCATCTTTAACCAATGAGAATATAGTTTTCATTCGATACTTCAAAATCACAATTTATTAATTAGGTAGAATAGTTTTAAAATATATTGCGAATTGCAACACGTCAATAAGCGTCCCACTCCGACTCAATGTGACGCAAATATTGTCGCAATATATTTTGAAACGACTCTATATTCGTGACTTGAAATTATAAACATCCCTCGTATTACTTACTACCTGTATATAAACCAAATTATTTATTTTAGGAAATATTTATATTTAATGTGAGGTAAGATATCGTTTTTGTTGTTACCATCTACATTCTTTACTTTGGTCCAGGAAACAAAGTCAATTTTCGATAAAAATAAAATGTAATAGGTAGGTAATATTTTATGAAACAGTACAATAAAAGTATTGAAATAAAGTATGCTCATACTCCAAAATGAGTCCTAGAGTTAACATTTTTATAATATTATAAATGGCATATAAAACGATTGGACCGTTTTCACAATCGCGAAATAATTTTTTTTTATTTGGTGAAATCCCGGCAATTATTGAAAAATAGATTTTATGTTCAGGACTATTATTATGATTCTTCGAACTCAGTCTACTAAAAACCGGTTTATAATACAATATCCCCTAATAGCTAGTCGGTCGATA